GGACACCAGGGACACAGGGCTCAGGGCCACCGAGAGCCTGGGGACATGGGGACACAGGGCTCAGGGCCACCAGGGACGGCTCAGTGCCACCAAGCGCCTGGGGACAGGGACACAGGGCTCAGGGACACCAGGGACACCAGGGCTCAGTGCCACCAGGGACACAGGGCTCAGTGCCACCAAAAGCCTGGGGACACGGGGACACAGGGCTCAGGGACACCAGGGACAGAGGGCTCTGTGCCACCGAGAGCCTGGGGACAGGGACAGAGGGCTCAGTGCCACCAGGGACACAGGGCTCAGTGCCACCAGGGACACCAGGGACAGAGGGCTCAGTGCCACCAGTGCCACCAGTGCCGGCTCAGTGCCACCAGTGCCCATGGGGACGGGCTCAGTGCCACTGACAGCCTGGGGACAGGGACAGAGGGCTCAGTGCCACCAGGGACAGAGGGCTCAGTGCCACCAGTGAGGGCTCAGTGCCACCAGTGCCCATGGGGATGGGCTCAGTGCCACCAAGCGCCTGGGGACACGGGGACACAGGGCTCAGTGCCACCAGGGACAGAGGGCTCAGTGCCACCAGTGCCACCACTGCCCACAGGGACAGGCTCAGTGCCACCGAGTGCCTGGGGACACAGGGCTTAGTGCCACCAGGGAGGGCTCAGGGACACCAGTGCCCATGGGGACGGGCTCAGTGCCACTGACAGCCTGGGGACAGGGACACAGGGCTCAGTGCCACCAGGGAGGGCTCAGGGACACCGAGCACCTGGGGACACGGGGGACAGAGGGCTCAGTGCCACCGGTGCCACCAGGGACAGAGGGCTCAGTGCCACCAGGGAGGGCTCAGCGCTCTGGGACAAAAAAAAAGTAAAACTTCTCTGCCAAACCCTCACCCACCTGATGAAGGGGTGCACGGGCTGGGACAGGCTCACCTTCTTCACCGTGTCTGCTCCGCCCTGGGGGACAGGGGGGGTCAGTTTTGGGGAGGTGGGCAGGGCACCCCAAACCCACCTGCTCCAGGGGCAGGGGGTGCTGGGCACCCCAAACCCACCTGCTCCAGGGGCAGGGGGTGCTGGGCACCCCAAACCCACCTGCCCCAAGGTGAGGGGGTGCTGGGCACCCCAAACCCACCTGCTGCAGCGGCAGGGAGTGCTCAAACTCCCCCAAATCCACTTTCACCCAGATCAGAGGTACCCAAAGCCCCACAAATCCATTTTCACCAGGGTCAGGGGTGCCCAAATCATCACAAACCCATCTTAACCAGGATCAGGGGTACCCAAACCCATCTTCCACCGGCTCAGGGGGTACCCAAACCCACCTTGACCAGGCTCAGGGGGTACCCAAACCCCCCAAACCCACCTTGACCAGGTTCAGGGGTGGGCAGGGGGTGCCCAAACCCACCTTGACCAGGCTCAGGGGTACCCAAACCCACCTTGACCAGGCTCAGGGGTACCCAAACCCCCCCAAACCCACCTTGACCAGGCTCAGGGGTACCCAAAGCCCCATAAATCCAATTTCACCAGGCTCAGGGGGTACCCAAACCCCTCCAAACCCACCTTCCACAGGCTCAGGAGTACCCAAACCCACCTTGACCAGGCTCAGGGGTACCCAAACCCACCTTGACCAGGCTCAGGGGTACCCAACCCCCCCCAAACCCACCTTGACCAGGCTCAGGTACTCCACAGCCGCTGCCCTCAGGGCTGGGGACCATTTCCTGACGTTGTCGTCGCACACCCAGCAGTGCACACCCCTCCTGCCAGAGTACACCCACAGGCGGTGCCGCACGCCCAGGTCCTCTGTGGGGGCACACAGGGGGTTTGGGGGGGCACAGGTGGGTTTACAGGGGGCACTGATGTGTTTGAGGGAGCACAGATGGGTTTTGGGGGGCACAGGTGGGGTTTGGAGTGGGCACAGATGGGTTTGGGAGAGCACAGATGGGGTTTGGGGGAAGCACAGATGGGTTTGGAGGAGGAAATATGGATTTGGGGGGGGCATAGATGGGTTTTGGGGGGGTATAGATGGGTTTGGAGGGGCACACATGGGTTTAGGAGGGGCACAGATATATTTGACGGAGCATAGATGGGTTTTGGAGGGCACAGATGGGGTTTAGGGGGGCACAGATGGGTTTGAGGACCACACCAGGACAGGCTGTGGTGACCATCACAGATGGGTCTGGGGGCACAGATGGGTTTTGGAGGGAGTACAGATGCGTTTGGGGGGGGCACAGACGGGTTTGGGGTGGGCATAGATGGGTTTGGGGAGGGGGGGCACAGATGGGTTTTGGGGGGGACACAGAGGGAGGTGGTGGAGTCACCATCCCTGGATGCATTTAACAAAAATTGGACGCGGCACTCAGTGCTGTGGTTTGGTTGAGATGTTTGGGCTGGTTTGGGCATGATGACCTTAAAATTCTCTTACAGCCTGGTCATTCTGTAAATTCTGTGAGTTTTGGCAATTCCCAGGGACCAGGGAGGTGGTGGAGTCACCATCCCTGGGTGTGTTTAAAAAATGATTGGACGTGGCACTGGGTGCCAGGGTTTAGTTGAAATATTGGGGCTGGGTTGGACTTGATGACCTTAAAATTCTCTTCCAAACTCGTCATTCTATGAATTCTGTGAATTTTGGGAATTCACAGAAGAAGAATTCCAGGGAGGTGGTGGAGTCACCATCCCTGGACGCGTTTAACAAAAACTGGACGTAACACTCAGTGCTGTGGTTTGGTTGAGGTGTTTGGGCTGGGTTGGACTCGATGACCTAAAAATTCTCTTCCAAAGCGGTCATTCTATAAATTCTGTGAATTCTTTGGGGTCTGGCATCTGTGGGACCTGGACGTGCCCCGTGTGCCCCCAAGCCCCTCACCCACGAGCGCGCGGTCGATGATGCGGACGGCGATGGTCATCAGCGTCCAGCACTTGGAGCAGATATCAGCCGAGCTGGGGGCAGAGTGAGGGGGCTCAGGTGGACACCCCACACCCCTGAACCCCCTCCCAGCCCCACAACCCCCCAAAAAACCTGCAGCACGTCCTGACATCGTCATAATCCGTCATGTCAATGTCAAACACCAGCTCCTTCTCCTGCGGCTGGAAGGCTCCCAGGTGCACCGTGTTGTGCTGGTTGGGCTGCAGGAGGGACGGGATGGGCTCAGCGAGGCCACAGACCCCTGCAGACCCCCCCAGCCCGGTGGTCGGGACTCACCCGGTGGGAATAGACAGCACCGATGTCGATTTTGTAGGGGTTGATCTTCTGCAGTTCCCGCTCCAGCTCCTGGGGACTGTTGAAGGACTGGAAGCGCAGGTAGACATCGTCCCGCAGGGTGAAGGAGAATTCCCGCAGCTGGAAGTAGTTCTTCACTGCAGGGATGGAGAGGGTCGGGGGGGGGTCAATGCCATCCCAAATCCCCCCATTAGAGTCACCCCCAGACCCCCCTTTCCCTGCTCCTCCCGGTGTCCCGGTCAGAGCATCCACCCACCGCCCGTCCCGGCACCCCAAAGTGCGCTGGCACCGGGCATCGGGGTGTTGCTGTCGGGTATCGGTGCCCCCCGCCCGGTATCGATGCCTCCGCTCGGTATTGATTCCCCCAGCCCGGTATCGGTGGCCTCCACCCGGTACCGGTGTCCCCGCCCGCTACTACGGTCCCCGGTAGAGCCCCCCGTCCGGTATCACGGTCCCCGGTGAAGCCCCTGCCCGGTATCGATGCCACAGCCCGGTATCACAGTCCCCGGTACAGCCCCCCTTCCGGTACCGGTGCCCCCGCCCGGTATCACGGCTCCCGGTAGAGCCCCCCTCCCGGTATCGATGCCCCCGCCCGGTATCACGGTCCTCGGTACAGTCCCTCGCCCGGTACGGGTGCCTCCGCCCGGTATCACGGCTCCCAGTAGAACCCCCCGCCCGGCATCCATGCACCCTGCCCGGTATCACGGCTCCCAGTGAAGCCCACCGCCCGGTACCGGTTCCCCCCCGCTCACCGCCGCCGTAGCTGAGCCAGCGGCCGTAGGGGCCGTGCGGGAAGAGCCGCCGGTAATAGACCGGGAGCAGCTCGGGCAGCGCCGCCGGATCGAACCCCGCCATGGCGGGAACGGAGCGCCGGGAGGCGGCGGGAAACGGCGGCGCCGGGCCCGGGGGCTGCCGGGAGTTGTAGTCCGGCCCCAGGCCTAGGGGGCGGAGGCACCGGGAATCGGGGGAGTGGGAGGAGAGCAAAGCACCGGGGATGCCCCGGGATCCGCGGGGGTCGGGGGGTCCCGGGACCGTGAGGGTCGCGGGGTGCTGAGGTCCGGGGATATCCCGGGGTTCGAGGGGGTCCCGAGGCGGGTGGGAACCGGGGGGCTGAGGTTAGGGAGGATTTTGGGGTCCTGCAATGCCCCGGGAGCGCGGAGGTACCGGGATGTCCCGGTGGTCCGGGGGTACCCCGGGATCCGGAGAAATTCGGGGGCGTGGGGGTCCGGGGGTGTCCCGGGGTTCGAGGGGGTCCCGAGGAGGGTGGGAGTCGAGGGGCTGAGTTTAGGGGGGATTTTGGGGGTCCTGAAATGCCCCGGGGCGGGTGGGTCCGGCAGCGCGGAGGCCCCAGGATGTCCCGGTGTCCGGAGAAATCCGGGGGCATGGGGGTCCGGGGGTGTCCCGGGGTCCGAGGGGGTCCCGGGAGGGGCTGTCCAGGATTGTCCCGAGGTCCCCGGACACGCGGTCCTGGTTTGTCCCGGTGTCCGGTAGACCCGGGGGTGCTGAGCTCCAGGGTGGTCCCGGCTTTCGGGGTGATCCCAGGATCTGGGAGGGTCCCGGGACAGCCCCCTGATCCGGAGGGCACCCGGGGATGTTCCGTGCCCCGGGATTGTCCCGGGCTCCGTGGGTTTCCCGGGACGGCCCCGCACCGATGCGGGAACCAGCGGGCGCTGCCCCGCTGCCGTTAACGATTCCCCGCAGGAGCGAAGCCCCGGGACACATCCCGGGACACAGCCCGCGGCCCGGCGGGCTCCAGGCGGCAGCAGCGGGACGAGCCCCTGGGAGAACGGGGCGGAGCCGCTCCCGCATCCCGGTAGGGCCCGGAGGCCCAGCGGTATCACCGCGATCTGCCCCGGCACCCGCAAATTAATTATTAACAGCGCCCGGAGGGAAAGGCCAAGGTCAGGACAAACGTCTCCCGCTCGCGTCCTACTCCCCATCCCGTTACCGGTACCGGTGCCACCGGGCAGGATGTGGCTGTGCGCGGTGGCCGCGCTGCTGGCGCTGCTCCTGCTGCGCCGCTGGCACCGGGAGCGGCAGACGGTGCCGCGGCTCTCGGAGAAGCACGTGCTGATCACGGGCTGCGACAGCGGCTTCGGGAAGCTCCTGGCGCGGCAGCTGGACCGGCGCGGGCTGCGGGTGCTGGCCGCCTGCCTGACGGACAGCGGCGCCGCGCAGCTGCGGGCGGCCACCTCCGAGCGGCTGCAGACCGTGCTGCTGGATGTCACCTGCAGCGAGAGCATCGCCCGTGCCACCGCCTGGGTGCGGGAGCGCGTGGGGGAGCAAGGTAAAATGGGGTCGATACCCTTCTTGTCACCGTGTTGTCCCCTGTTGCTTTCCATGCCAGGCTGCGGGGCAATCACGGCTCTGTAATTAATTCCTGTCCCTTCTGTGGCGACATCCATCTGCCATTGGCTCCTGCAGGCAGAGAGTTCAGCTTTCAGCCTTTCCCCCCTGAAAATCAGCTAATTAAGAGCTGATTACCCCAACAACTCTCCTGCCACCTTGCCCACTCAACACAGGTGAGGCTGGCGCAGGGCTGTGGGCTTTGGGACTGTTGCAGGCATCTTTTATGAAAAATCCTTTCTTTAGGATTTTTCTTCCTGAGAAGCTGAGAGGTGTCAGGAACAAAATGTGAACAGTGGTTATCTGCTTCTGTGGAATGCAACAGGTGGATCTTTAATTAGTCTGTGTTAGATGTTTCTAATTAATGGCTGATCACAGCTTAGCTAGCTCGGACAGAGAATCCGAGACAGAGCTTTTGTTATCATTCTTTGCTATTCCATTCTTAGCTGGCCTTCTGATGAAGTCCTTTCTTCTATTCTTTTAGTATAGTTTTAATGTAATATATATCATAAAATAATCAATCAAGCCTTCTGAAACATGGAGTCAGATCCTCTTCTCTTCCCTCAACTTGAGACCCCTGTGAACACCGTCACAAGGAACAGCCCCAACCCATCCCATCCCCTCTGCAGGGCTCTGGGGGCTGGTGAACAATGCAGGCATCGCCATCCCCACCGCTCCCAACGAGTGGCTGAGCAAGGAGGACTTTAAGAAGGTGCTGGATGTCAACCTGGTGGGGCTGGTGGAGGTGACGCTGAGCCTGCTGCCGCTGGTGCGGCGGGCGCGGGGCCGCGTGGTCAACGTGTCCAGCGTGATGGGCCGCCTGTCCTTCTTTGGTGGAGGCTACTGCATCTCCAAGTACGGCGTGGAAGCCTTCTCTGACAGCCTCAGGTAAGTCTGGATCAGCAGACTTACAAGTTCTACATCATGACTTCCCAACTTGTGTTTCTGGACTTTGTCTGGCGCAGCTGTCAGCTCTCACCCTCGCACAGCCGTGACCGGGCACAGGTCGGTCTTGTCTCTGCTGCTGAAGTGAGCAGATCCTGAAATGGAGCCTCTCCTGTGGACATTGCCCCTGTTCAAGATCCTGCAGGACATGCCCCTGCTGTGCTGAGCTTTGCTTTGTTCCCTGCGTATCCAGATGTGGCAAACATTTGCTGGCACAGCATCTCAGCCACGTGCCAGGCTGGCACAATGTCCACTGGCATGGTCAGGCTCTGCTCCACACCTCTGGCACGAGGGAGATGTGGACATGGAGCCTCACCCATGGACATTGGCCCTGTCCAAGATCCTGCAGGACATGGCCCTGCTGCCCTGAGCTTTGCTTTGTTCCCTGCATATCCAGATGTCGCAAACATTTGCTGGCACAGCATCTCAGCCACGTGCCAGGCTGGCACAGAGTCCACTGGTTCTGCTGCACACCTCTGGCATGAGGCTCCAAGCCATGGGAGATGTGGGCATGGAGCCTCACCCATGGACATTGGCCTTGTCCAAGATCCTGCAGGACATGGCCCTGCTGCCCCAAGTTTGCTTGGTTCCCAACCCATCCAGATATGCCAAATGTTTGCTGAAGCAGCACCTCAGCCATGTGCCAGGCTGGCACAATGTCCACTGGCATGGTCAGGCTCAGCTCCACACCTGTGGCACGAGGGAGATGTGGGCATGGAGCCTCCCCTGTGGACATTGGCCCGGCTGCCCTGAGCTTTGCTTTGCTCCCATCCAATCCAGATGTCGCAAACATTTGCTGGCACAGCATCTCAGCCACGTGCCAGGCTGGCACAACGTTCACTGGCATGGTCAGGGTCTGCTGCACAGCTCTGGCATGATGCTCCATGCCATGGGAGATGTGGGCATGGAACCTCCCCTGTGGACATTGGCCCTGCTGCCCCAAGTTTGCTTTGTTCCCAACCCATCCAGATATACCAAATGTTTACTGCAGCACCATCTCAGCCACGTGCCAGGCTGGCACAATGCCCACTGGCATGGTCAGGCTCTGCTCCACAGAGGCACAAGGCTCCATGCCATGGGAGATTTGGGCACGGGCACCCTTGGGTGCTGCTCCCGTGTCCCACGGGGCTCAATCCCTTCCAGGATCGAGATGCACAACTTCGGGGTGAAGGTCAGTGTGATCGAGCCGGGCTACTTCAAAACCATGATCACCAACGTTGAGAACCTGGAGAAGAATTTTCAGGCCTGCTGGGAGAAGCTTCCTGCAGAAATCAAAGCGAGTTACGGGGAGAGTTACTTGAGGGACTGTAAGTACCTCCCCAAAAGCTGAGTGATTATTTTGTCTCCTGACACAAGGAGTCCCATGGGGGTCCCATGGGGGTCCCACTGCCCCAAAACCCCCTGGAGCCACCTGGCTCTGCCCAGCTCCAGGATCTCAGTGGTGTTTTCTGCCTCTGCAGTTGTTTCCCTGCTCAAGCTGCTGCAGAAGGGCTACAACAGTGACCTGTCCCTGGTCACCAACTGCATGGAGCACGCTCTGACCAGCCGGCACCCCCGTAGCCGCTATTCCGCCGGCTGGGACGCCAAGCTGCTCTACCTGCCCCTCAGCTACCTGCCCTCAGCCCTCAGCGACGCCCTGTTCACCGCGTTCTACCCCAAATCTGCTGGGAAAGCCTGAGGTGGGCTTGCAGCTGGCAGCCAGATCAGAGTGAGATCCAATAACGCTCAGCTGGATCCAGAATTGGCTGCCACACTGAATTTGTAACTGCATTTATGTCTGACCCTCTGTGCCCTGCTCATAGATGGGTTGGTCCTGAATAAATTTTGTCCTGTCCCCTTCTGGCTGAGCGTGGTGTCACTCAGGCTGTGCCTGGAGGCTCTGGTGCTTTGAGCACCTGCTGCATTCAGGATCCAGCCCTCGAAAGGTGCCAGGGGACTTGCCCAGCCTTGCACTACAGGTATTGGCACATGCCAGTAAAACTCAGACCTGTTCCAACATGAGCAGATTTCCCTCGAGGCTTCTTACAGAATCCTCCTCTTTTGCTTCCTCCTCCTCCTGACTGGGGGACACTGTGCTGCTCCATCACCACATTTGGGGACACTGTTGCCCACCAACGCTGGGAGAGAGGGAAAGACCCAGGGTTGGTGCTGATGGGTATCTAGAAGGTTCCACCAAACCCAGCTCTGTGGGGCATTGGGATCCCTCTGTGCCCTGCTCATAGATGGGTTTGTCCTGAATAAATTTTGTCCTGTCCTCTCCTGGCTGAGCGTGGTGTCACTCCAGGCTCTGCCTGGATGTTCTGGCTCTTCCTTTGAGCACCTGCTGCATTCAGGATCCAGCCCTTGAAAGGTGCCAGGGGAATTGCCCAGCCTGGCACCCCAGGTGTTGGCACATGCCAGTAAAACTCGGACCTGTTCCAACATGAGCAGATTTCCCTCGAGGCAAAGAACTGGGCAGCTTCTTACAGAATCCTCCTCCTCTGCTTCCTCCTCCTCCTCCTCTTGTGCTTCCTCCTCCTCCTCCTGAAGCTGGTTGGGGGACACTGTACTGCTCCATCACCACATTTGGGGACGCTGGGAGAGACACTCCCAATGCTGGGAGAGCGGGAAAGACCCAAGGTTGGTGCTGCTGGGTATCTAGAAGGGTCCACCAAACCCAGCTCTGTGGGGCATTGGGATCTCTCTGTGCCCTGCTCATAGATGGGTTTGTCCTGAATAAATTTTGTCCTGTCCCCTCCTGGCTGAGCGTGGTGTCACTCAGGCTGTGCCTGGAGGCTCTGGTGCTTTGAGCACCTGCTGCATTCAGGATCCAGCCCTCAAAAGGTGCCAGGGGACTTGCCCAGACTGGCACCCCAGGTATTGGCACATGCCAGTAAAACTCAGACCTGTTCCAACATGAGCAGATTTCCCTCGAGGCAAAGAACTGGGCAGCTTCTTACAGAATCCTCCTCCTCCTCCCCTTCTTCCTCCTCCTCCTCCTGAAGCTGGTTGGGGGACACTGTGCTGCTCCATCACCACATTTGGGGACACCGCTGCCCACCAACGCTGGGAGAGAGGGAAAGATGCAGCGCTGGTGCTGCTGGTGGTGTCTGGAAGGTTCCAGCACCAGGATGGATCCATCCAGGATGGATCCCCCTGCTATGGGCGCAGCAGAGCCCCAGGCACAGCCACAATGCTGCAACACCAAGCCGGGAATTGCCCAAACCACAAATCAAGAGGGCAAACCTCCCCGCGGGCAGGGAGCTGCCGCAATCCCGGCTCTATAAACGCGGCCGGAGCGCGGTTCGTACCCGAGCGCTGCCACCACCGAGGATGTGGCTGTGCGCGGTGGCCGCGCTGCTGGCGCTGCTCCTGCTGCGCCGCTGGCACCGGGAGCGGCAGACGGTGCCGCGGCTCTCGGAGAAGCACGTGCTGATCACGGGCTGCGACAGCGGCTTCGGGAAGCTCCTGGCGCGGCAGCTGGACCGGCGCGGGCTGCGGGTGCTGGCCGCCTGCCTGACGGACAGCGGCGCCGCGCAGCTGCGGGCGGCCACCTCCGAGCGGCTGCAGACCGTGCTGCTGGATGTCACCTGCAGCGAGAGCATCGCCCGTGCCACCGCCTGGGTGCGGGAGCGCGTGGGGGAGCAAGGTAAAATGGGGTCGATACCCTTCTTGTCACCGTGTTGTCACCGTGTTGTCCCCTCTTGCTTTCCATGCCAGGCTGCGGGGCAATCACGGCTCTGTAATTAATTCCTGTCGCTTCTCTGGCGACATCCATTTGCCATCGGCTCCCTGCAGGAGCGCTGCCCACTCAGAGAGTTCAGCTTTCAGTCCTTTCTCCCTGAAAATCAGCTAATTAAGACATGATTACCCCAACAGCTCTCCTGCCACCTTGCCCACTTGTAAGAGCCTAATTGAGAGATGTGGGGCTCCAGGGGCTCTCCAAAATGCAGATTATTCCATCCAAGAGGTTACAGCAGTCCAGGGTCATGGGTGACAGAGCAGTGCCTACAGCTGTCACCTCCAGCTGTAGGCAGGCCTGGAGACCCTTTGGTTTTGGTTACAATGCGTTTTATACTTTTCTTTTGGTTCCAATGCATTTTATACTTTTCTTTTGGTTACGATGCATTTTATACTTTTCTTTGCTAAGCATCTTAATACAGTAGAACCAATCTATACCTTAACTTTTATTTATAGCCTGTTATAACTCCTATAATTACCATATTCATGTTACTGTTCTCCAATCACTGAAAGTTAGTACATTACAGTTCAAGCTAGAAGTTGTTTTTCAGTTTTCTTTCAGTGGAAGATTCTGAGATCTTTTTTCTGCTTGCAACTTTGCTGCCTTGTTTGCCTGTGCTACCTTCCTGCTTGGTAAAAACATCTTCTCGTTTGGGGTGGGTTTATCCTTTGCTCTAAGCCATAAAAATCCCTTCTAACTAACAAACCCTTTGACTTCTTGGTTATCCTATGAGACTGGCTCAGCAATTCTTTTCTTCTATATCAAAACTTGCTTCCATCTCTATTCCTTCATCAGACTCTACATTTTAAAATCTTTCTGCTAAGCACACATATCTGTGAGACTTTCTTGTCAAACTTTCATCCTTTCCTAACACCCACTCAACACAGGCGAGGCTGGCACTGGGCTGTGAGCTTCGGGACAGCCCCAACCCATCCCATCCCCTCTGCAGGGCTCTGGGGGCTGGTGAACAACGCAGGCATCGGCAGCCCCACGGCCCCAAACGAGTGGCTGAGCAAGGAGGACTTTAAGAAGGTGCTGGATGTCAACCTGGTGGGGCTGGTGGAGGTGACGCTGAGCCTGCTGCCGCTGGTGCGGCGGGCGCGGGGCCGCGTGGTCAACGTGGCCAGCGTGATGGGCCGCCTGTCCTGTTTCGGTGGAGGCTACTGCATCTCCAAATTCGGCGTGGAAGCCTTCTCTGACAGCCTCAGGTACGGTTCTGGCAGCCCCCGGAGCTCTCCTCGCTGTCCTCTGGCGGGGTTTGATTTCTGTATTTACTCCCTGTTACATTTTCCCCAGAGAGGTTGTGAAACGCTGAGCACAAGTGGGTTGGGAGCGTGGGCAGAGCTGTGGGTGTGAAACCAGGGCGAGGATTTCAAAGAAATCTGGATGGACCAGTCCAGGAGTGCCCAAGGGTTCGGGTTTTGGTGTTCAGGGGAGTCTTGATGCGCTGAGATTTTTGGGAGGTCCCGGGATCCAGAAATGTTCTGGGGTGGTCTTGAGGCACTGAGGCTCAGGGGGATTCCAGGATCCCGGGATCCAGAGGGGTCCAGGAGAGCCCCGGGGCGCTGAGATTCAGGAAAGTCCCAGGATCCCGGAATTCTCTGGGGTTTGGGATGATCCTGAGGCACTGAGGCTCAGCAGGATTCCAGGATCCCGGGATCCAGGGATGTCTCGGGATCCAAGAGGGTCCCTGGAGCAAGGACAAGACTCCCCTGTGCCCATGATGGAACGCCTGGGGTGTGCCACAAACTGCCCCCCGATCTCTGCCCCCCTCGGGGCAGCAGCTCCCGCTGACGCCCCCACCTCGGGCAGGCGGGAGCTGCGTCCCTTCGGGGTCCAGGTCTCCATCATCGAACCTGGAGGCTTCCAGACCGGAATGATCGACCCCGGCCCGCTGGTGAAGGGCTTCGTTCGCCTCTGGGAGCGGCTCCCTGCAGAAACCCAGGCAGCCTACGGCCGCCACTACGTGGACAAATGTGAGTCCATCCCCACATCACATCGCCACCCCCCCGATCCCACCTCCGTCCCTCTGACCCCCTTGTGCCCACCCAGATGCCAGGAGCACCACTCTGCTGCACCGCCTGAGCAGCTCCCGCCTGTCGCCTGTCACCGATGCCATGGCACACGCGCTGCTGTCCCGCTGTCCCCGCAGCCGCTACGCCGCGGGTTGGGATGCGCGCCTCATCTTCCTCCCCCTCAGCTACTGCCCGGCCTGGCTGTCCGACACCATCATCGGCTTCTTCCTGCCCGTCCCGGCCAGCGGGGTCCCCTGATGGCCACCGGAGCGGGGACATGGCCCGGGGGTGTCTCAGGAGCTCGGGAAGTGCTCAATAAAGGCGGTGCAATGCTGGAGGTGTCCCATGGTCACTTGGCCACGGTGCCGGTGACTACCGGGGAATCCCGCGGCACGATCCCGGTCTCTGTCTGTGCCCAGAACTGCTGCATAACCCGGGATATCCCGGCTCGGCTGCAGGGAACGGGCTGAGAAAGGCAGAGCCGTGTTTATCCATTCCCTGGGCACAGCATATCCCGGGATTTCCCGGCTCGGCTTGCAGGGAAAGGCAGAGACGTGTTTATTCATCCCCTGAGCACGGTGTATCCCGGGATATCCCGGCAGGGAAAGGCAGAGCCGTGTTTATCCATCCCCTGGGCACAGAATATCCCGGGCTATCCCGGCTCGGCTGGCAGAGTCGTGTTTATCCATCTCCTGGGCATATCCCGGGATATCCCGGCTCGGTTGGCAGGGGCAGAGCCGGGAAAGGCAGAGCCGTGTTCATCCATCCCATGGGCACGGCGTATCCCGGGATATCCTGGCTTGGCTGCAGGGACTGAGCTGGGAAAGACAGAGCGATGTTTATCCATCCCCTGAGCACGGCATATCCCGGGTTAACCCGGCTGAACGGGCTGGGAAAGGCAGAGCGATGTAGAGCGATGTTTATCCATCCCCTGGGCACGGCCTATCCCGGGGTAATCCGGCTGATCTGCCCGGGAACGGGCTGGGAAAGGCAGAGCCGTGTTTATCCATCCCCTGGGCTCGTGGGCGGTGATCCCTGCGTCACTCATC